TATCATATCTCCCCGCACTCTTCGTCTTTCTAGGGAATTCAAGTTTAGTTTCTTTAACCTATCTTGATATGGAAGGTTTGAAAGTCCCGGAATCATTTTCGTCATTCTTCGATGCACTGACTCCAGTGAATTGATATCCATTCTATAAGGGCACCAGAACTGAACCGCATAATCGAGGTGCGGCCTGACTAGCGCAAGATATACTGTGGTTGCAATAAGACCTCTGCACTCTTATTACTTTCACTTCTAGATATACAACATAATACTTTGTTTGCCTTATTTCGATCATTAACGCATTGTTTTCTAGACCGAAGGTCCGGGCTTACAAGTATCCCTAAGTCTCTTTCACAAGTCGACTTCTCTAGGTTGATGTTGTTAAGGCTGTATACATTGACAGTATTTGGTCTTCCAATATTAAGTACGCTGCACTTGCTGGTGTTGAATTTGATTTGCCATTTTCTGACCACTCCTGCAGTTTATTTAAATCCTCCTGTAGTGCATTTGCATCCTGCCCTGAACTAATCTGCCGCCCTATTTTGGGGTCATCCGCAAACTTGCTTATGTCACTGCTGATCCTAGTATCTAGAACGCTTATGTAGATTATGAACAAGAGTGGGCCCAATACTGACCCCTGGGGAACTCCACTGATTACACAACCTCACTCAGATCTAACACCATCTACGCTGACCCTCTGTATTCTATCGGTGAACCATGACTTTATCCATTTTAAACTTTCCCCTCGATACCATGAGACTTAACTTTTCTCAGAAGCCTCTGATGCGGTACTCTGTTTTTGATGGAACTGTGTCCTTGCAAAGTAGAGTTTTCTGTGCTGTGAACATGAATACCCATTTTTTTTTTTAAATGTGGCCTCCAGCCTCCCCCAATAGCCACATCTTCGCCACCATTTAATTACCTTAATATTAAATATCCAAATACATAAGTAGTTATCCTATCTGTGTTAAATTAGTTGAACCGCAGATCTACAGTATGCAGCATTCAGTGACAGTAGCCTCATAGTCAATATCTGCAGCAGTTGTCGGAGTTGGGGCAGAAGCTCTCGTTCCCCTGAGGCAGAGCAAAGCCGACCGAAGGAGAGAGAAAGACAGTCGACATCTCATACAGGCTGTAACATAACTTCTGGGCTGCTGCTTCTGTTCGGAGATCACCTCCGCGAGTCTGGCGTAGAAACATCATGCACTTGGTCCCATCCCACCAGAGGTTGTGAACACTAGAGGAGTGAAGCTGCTTTGATCAACGTTTTGAACTCTCTCCCCATATGCCCTTCTCTTGTCGTTCTCGTTCCTCCTATGTGCAGTATCGAGAGCTAGGTTACGGTGACATGCAGCCATGGGATCAAAAATCCTGATGTCGAAGAAAGCTCGCTGTCCCCGCGTCCAGAATCCTCGAGCACTGACGTCCACACGGGCTTCGTTAGATGTGTTTGAAGTCCTGTGTTGGAAGATCTCACCATCCAATGAAAGGAGGGTCGGTTCTACCATGACATCCCGGCAGATTTCCTTCAACATATTTGCTGTGAGGTCCCTTATCTCGTCATGCCTCATGCATATGAAGCCCCCTTTCTTGCACACCATGGCGTGATCGCCATCATAGGAAGAGCCACACACGCATTGGGAGGGCGAACCTTCTACTGGCCAACCGTACCTTAGAGCAATTTGCATCTGTAAATTCTTGTTTATTAAGACTGAAACCATGTGCCCTTATCGGTAACGTAGTTAACCAGTTCGAGGCGCCCACCTCCTGCGCTATAGCTACGTTTTTTTCAACTTTTCTGGTACCTGCAGCAACAGTTGCTGCAACTTATCATTTTGGCAGTGCTGTCGATCTGTCGTAATGGACCTACGAATCTTATTTACTTCACTGGTAACCACTTCCCCTGTAGCATTTTGGGCTATTATGTGGTCCGTGAGGGCTGCCGTGAGCTTAAGTGAATTTTGATGTTCAGTGGCAGGAATCTCCTCTGGATTTGTTAGTCCCATCCCTCCCAGTCTTGATGGAAGTGCAAGAAGTGCTCTTTTTGCTGGGGTTAAGTCAGGGTGTTTCACTAATTTAGGAATGAAATTGACACTGATTACTTCTTCCAGAGGGTGGAGTAGGGGTCCGATATCAGGGAGAGTATGCATCAGGTAGTTCCAACGATGCTTGACTCCGTGGGTGAATGCAGCAAAAGCGGCATGTGGCTCTGTGTTAGCAATCTTAGACAGAGCTTCGATTTCACTAACCCACTCATTCACCTTTCCCGCTACGTACTCGGTCTTGAAGTCAGCAGTGCCAATTACTGCACCTAGATGTCTTTGGCCGTCCTTAGTTATTTTGACCTCACTTCCGCCAAAAACCTCCATTGCCCGTTCATAATGTTCTGGCTTCACGATGAGGAAGGACTTGCTGGCGTTTGGGTGGTACCCTATTTGTGGACCTCGCGATGTTACCAAGTCCCACCACTTTTTGATGCCCTCCACTTTTCCTGCTCCTGTAAGGTCATCAGCATATGCCACTTGTTTGACCCCAGTTGTTTCAAATTTTATTTCTTGTTGGAGCACTGATAGGCCAATTGCATACATTGCCATTGCAACAGGGTCCCCCTGTGTTGTTCCCTCGGTTGACTGTAAGATGGTATCACCTCTTAGAGCCTTGTTGTTTACTATATAGAGGTCTGATGGATTCCTTTGCGAATTTTTAACATACATTGCAAAGCTTGGACACTTGATCTTGATGTTGTGCAGTGCAGCCTTGCGGTTAAGTATGTTGAATGCGTTTGAAGCATCCACCAGGAGAACGGCCTCACAATCTCGCTGCTCAAATATCAATCTCATGGCGTGAATGACTGCCTCCCCGCCAGCCTGTTGGCCAGCACACACTTGTAGGTTCCCTGCTGCTGCCCTGACATCATCCTTTACCACCTCCATTATGCATTTTCCGATGATCCGCCTCAGCACTTCCCCCACCCCTATAGGGCTACATCCTGCGTTCTTTTCCAGAGGAATAAGGATGCAAGCCATCAGGGCCTGGAGGTGATGGCAGCAAGAGGATGCAAGCTTCCTTGCAAGGGCGGCAATGGCAGTGCAGAGATCGCTTGCTACAGGTCCAACTTGTTTGTGCTGAGGATGACTTTCCAACTGTTTGCATCCAGACCTGAAGGGCAGGCTCCTCCTCGAGTCTTCAGTGCCTTTTTCCACACCATCTCTCCTGTCATTTTCTCGAACAGGACAGCGTTTGGTAGGGTATAAACTCCCTCGAACCTGATGCCTTCTTCGTCGCTTGCAGGGGGATGTTTCTCTTTCAGTAGTTTTAATGTCTCTCTGTTTATTGGCTTCACCCCACCGTAGGATTCCTCTGTGAGAGATCTGACCTCCAGAGACACTTTTCCCACACGCATTTTGTTTCCAAATTTTCTTGCCACGTCATCGGTGTTTTGCTTTCCGTCACCCGTAATTTTTAGTCTCTCCTGCAGTGTTCTTGCTTCACATAGGAGATCATCAAGGGCCCCAGTCTGCCACATTGCCAATCTTCTCTTCATTGCTGCCACAATTTCTTTGTGCTTAGTCTTTGTGTGTGTCCTCTGACAAAATAGATGTGGTATTATTGCCAGTATTTGAAGAGCTAAAGGGGCGAGGAAGCGGTCCTGAGTGTAATCAGTCATGAGGCGAGTCATCTCCCTAATCATTTCTTTGGTGGCCGCACACTTGGGTGGTTCAAATAAGTTAGCGGGCGACCACTTGACAATTTCTGAGTATGTTTCTTTGACCCATATGTCTGCATTTTCCATCGACATGCCATTCCACTGAGGTGGCTGTCTCTCATTTTCCTCGTGGACATCTGCTACTAAGGGAGCAGCATTTATTCGTACTACATTTTCGGGGTGAGTGGACTCACTGCTATCATTTCGGATATCATCTGGTGGTTGGGTCCCGGCGATATCCACTGTGGCCACCTGTGTCGGCTCCCTGCGACGTGGGTTCCGACACTGGTCTCGCTTCTTGCAATCTCCACATGGTCGGTTGTTTCTCGCACAAACACAATTTGTGTAGTTTTGGTTCGGGTTAGCACAGACGCAGCAATGAATGTTACCAGGCATAGTGAACAGCACCCCGGGTGACAGATACTTCCGCCTCCGACCTCTGCTATTGGGCCCATACGGACGATACACTTGTCACCAGAAAATGTATGTTTATTGATTTTGTTTTTAATAAAGAATGTTATACAAAACGTGCACTGGCTAATTTACCTGGACCAGTTTTGTGGTGTTTGAGCAATGTGTCTTCTTCTATTGGAGAAAAATAGTTGTTTATGCATATATGTTTGTTAAATGAAACAAAAATATAGGAAAGCAAATTTTATTCTAATTTGGCAACATATCCCCCAAAAACCTCTTTTCCCCAAAAAACCGTTTTTTCTGCAAAAATAACCTACCAGAGCGGATAATTGGGTTACATACCCGGGTAGATGCCCAGTACAACCCTGCTACTGAGGCGGGTAGGTCACTCTCACATTACTACTGAGGCGGGTAGTTTACCTTCACATTACTACTGAGGTGGGCAGGTCACTCTCATATTAGTACTGAGGCAGGTAGGTCTCTCTCACATTGCTACTGAGGCGGGTAGGTCACTCTCACATTACTACTGAGGCGGTTCGGTCACTCTTATATTATTACTGAGGCGGGTAGGACACTCTTACATTACTACTGAGGCGGGAAGGTCACTCACATTACTATTGAGGGTGTTCGGTCACTCTTACATTATTACTGAGGCGGGTAAGACACTCTCACATTACTACTGAGGCGGTTCGGTCACTCTTATATTATTACTGAGGCGGGTAGGTCACTCTTACATTACTACTGAGGCGGGTAGTTTACTTTCACATTACTACTGAGGTGGGTAGGTCACTCTCATATTACTACTGAGGCAGGTAGGTCTCTCTCTCATTGCTACTGAGGTGGGTAGGTCACTCTCACATAACTTCAACCATGTTTACGTCACCAGCTGCGGCAGGTGTCATGGTGCGTGACGGTGGTTGTGGTGAGCGACGACCCAGCCTTCCTCGCCGCCTTCGCCGAGTGGTCCCTCAAGGGCCGCCTCCTGGTGTGGTCGACGAGGCTCCTTGTCGTCACTCGGTTACCAGCACAGGAGATAAGATCACTCTTGAAAAAACATTGGTGTTTTTCAATGATGAACACTGTGATGATGAAGGTACAAGACTTATCACAGACAATAAGGTACAGCACTTAAAACGAGTTTTTATTCTCAAACTAGCTTTGAAACTTGACTTTGGCCGGGTACTGTAAAGCTCTCAACACCCATCCGCCATGCAGTTTTTTTTTACTTGTTTTTATTTAAGCTAAATCTAAAAAGTCACGACGAAGAACACAGTCACGGCAGGGCCCCTTTAATATACATGCAAAGATAAACGTCACTGATCTACGGTACTGACTCACTGAAGAACATAGAAAAGCCCTTTTATTAATATAGTGTGATAACAATTAAGCGCATATGATGTACAACCCTTCACATACAACAATCCATACACCATCTCTATTTTAGCTATAGGAATAAATTGTGATAGTGGTAAGTTACAATTGTAAATATATACATATATATATATATATATATATATATATATATATATATATATATATATATATATATATATATATATATATATATATATATATATATATATATATATATATATATATATATATATATATATATATATATATATATATATATATATATATATATATATATATATACTATCCTTGTCAAGTATTTCGCCTTAGTCTGTACTCACCCCTGAATATCTGAATTACACGAAAGCACTTGGGAACGGGCCCGTCCTTTAGGGGGGAGGGGGCGGGGCGAACAGGGGCGACCGCCCGGTGCCCCGCGCGTGTGGGGGCCCTGCGGCGCCCAGCACTAGTCCCAGTGACCTCGGACACATTACCTGTTGACTGGTTAATCTGACCTGACGGCTTACTCCACCATTGCAACCGTGACCTTACCATCCATAGCGACAGTCCCATGGGGTTGGTGGGGGTGGGTTCCCCTGACCGCATAATCTGACTGCATATATATTTTTTCTGGGGCCCCGCAGTGCCTGAGTTGCCCCTGGCCCCGCACCCTCCTAGGGACGGCCCTGCTTGGGAACTTCGTGTTTTCTTGTTTCCTTGTGGTTATCAGCATATATATATATATATATATATATATATATATATATATATATATATATATATATATATATATATATATATATATATATATATATATATATATATATATATATATATCATGATGAAGGACATTGTATGTGGTACAGGTGTGGGGTATACTTGCACCTGCCTTACAGCCCGCGGGGAGCAAAGGTGGTACAGGTGGCACAGTGGTCACCTCTCCAGGGCCTAGTCTACACCATTTCCTTGCCGCTCTTTCCCGAGAAGTTCTCAAAGTGAGTGGACTGTCCATTAGTTTTCATACCGTATAGGAAATATAAAATAACATATTATTACTTAATTGGTTTATCATAATAATTGGTCTGAATTTCCAGGGCTTCGTTGTCAAAAGAGTACGATTATGGCCTTTTGTTAACTTGTTTATAGCCACACTAAATGAACCAAACTAATATGCGTACAGAAGAGAGTTGTCACTACTGACAGTTGCATGCATTTAGTGGTTATGGGACACGATAGTCACTGAATGCTACTGTAATACGGAGTTTGGGAAAATTAACACCGCTACTGTAAATGCGACAAAAATATATGAGAGAAAATCACATTATAGTGAAAGTGGATGTTTCTTTATGGTATATATCTTATTTAATTTGATTAAAGGACATCCATGAGGCACTTTTCATTACCTTTATAAAGGAAGTAAAAAAGTTAGTAATTTCGTGGAAAATGTACAGTACTTCTTACGCTGTCATGACCTGTGTCCACCAGTTTCTACGGTGCCAGGGTGAACGTGACCGCCCTGCCGTATGCCCCGTACTGGATGACCTCTGGTGAGGGCAACAACACCAAGCACTCCGGCATTGACTACAACCAACTCGTGACTTTATCAGAAGCTCTCAACTTTACTATCCGCCTCTTACCATCTGCCAACTGGGATGAGGTAAGAGATTCATGACATTACTCTAAGTTTTATAAAGAAGTAACCTACCTACCTACCTACCTGGCTGGCTGGGTATCTATCTATCTCTCTATCTATTAACACCCTGGAAAACGTAAACTGTAAAAGTCGCAAATATTAGGTCACAGTGTTCAATGAGACACCTTTTTGTTTATCAATTCAATTTCAATTTCAATTGTTTATTCCTTGACAGAGGAAGCGGGATCCTAGTGCTGTCACTAGGTACCCCTGTACAATGACACAAGAAGCATCTGGCAAGTGTGACAAGTATATACAGTATAAATATTATAAAGGGGCTTACTAAAGCCAAAGGAAGGAAGGATATTCCTTTAACACATAATCAATAATATTTACAAAATATCTGGCCAGTATGGGGAGGATCATCGTGTCTCCGTCAGGGGGTCATGGAGTGGTTTCCGCAGCTGCTGTACTACAATGCGGACGGTTCCCAGAAGCGGGGGCACCTACTAACCCAAACGGTAGTACTACAAATTCATGCAGCCCTTCATCTATAGAAAAAGCAGTGTATTGACGGCTGTGCTCACTCAATGGAATTTGCTAGTATCCTTTCACTAGGTCGATTTTACTAAAGAACTGACTATCACTAGCGAAAATATACCGTGGATCAGGCATGGGTTCACGGTCAAAAACAGTTAGAGAATTAAGCTTTTTAAAATTCAAACAAATTCGGTATGTTTCATATTTTTTTTATTTTTTACTATCACCATAAGAGTAAAGTGAACTTGGTGGATGAATAACACTAAGTCAATTCATTACTTCGAGCTCTTCCTAAACACTTGGCCACAATGCATAGAGAATATGATATCTTCTGGCTCTAACACTGTCCTCTCGCATCAGACTTGTCATGTTCAATCAATGAAATTTTTCCAGGAACATCAGCTGAAACATTTTTATATTTTGATAAGACAGATTGAACATTAGCTTGTTGGTTATCAACTCGTGGCAGCTCACCGTCATCCTTCTCTTCTACCAAGGCCACTGAAGCGTCTTCCACTGCATCTGCATCTTTTCCTAGCTAGATGTAACGCCTTAGTATGTTTGCATGATAGATCGTCCTCTTCCCTTTGTGGTCTCTTATGTAGTCCACCCGGCTCTGTTTTTCCATCACACCAAAAGGTCCTTTTAACTGTAATAGAAATTTATTATGAGCTGTAGGAAGATGTAACAACACTTTGTCCCTCACCTTAAATTATTGTCCATTGCCCTTCTATCGTATGCAACCTTGTACTTAGTTTCAGCCAGATTTTACTGATTCTAAGCAATTCTACAAGTTTCTTCCAACTTTTATCGATGCTTGAACATGTACCCATAGGTGGTAGGAACCGGTAACTAGCTAATGTCTTTTTTATTCCACAATTCCCTAAGAATAGTTAAGGGCCTGAGGTGACTCCCGAGACGCAAATAATAATGCCTGTAGATACCGATCCCACTCTCTAGACTGTTTACTACACAGCTTTTAAAGCATAGCCGTTGTTGTTGTTGAGCTTGTCGGACCGTAGTCCGACACGGGCCTTTGCCTACAGGCGGCCCGTTTGGTGGTTCCGGCTGGAGCTCCTGGAGCAGCCAGACCGGATTGAGATTAGAGGTGGTCCTACCTGCAGATTTGGAAGGATACTGCAGGTTGCAAGTGTGAGCGGACCCCCGATCAGTGGACGCTTACCACCAACCCCCACTCTTGGACGTGGTCAGTTTCGGAGTGGCGCGCCCCCCGAACTGGGGTCCGCACTTGCTGGGAGAGGATACTTTCTAAGCTATCTGGGTGGTGGGTATCGTGTGATGACCCGGAGAAGGTGGTGAATGTGGTTTGTTTGGGCCTTTCGGGTTAGAATGGCCGCTGGTGTTGTGCGTGCTTCTTGGGAGTTTTGAGTTCTGTTTCGGAGGCTTTGTGTGACTTCGCAGTCGAGGAGATAGTGTTCAAGTGGGTTGGCTGCTGGCTCCTGACAGTAGGTGCATTCCATGACGTCATTTCAGATCATCTGCCAGGAGCACTTGTACCCTAGTCGTAGTCGATGAAGGCTAACTTGGGTTTGTCTTGGTGTTTTCTTGTCTGCGAAAGGTGGTTCCCCTTTTGTAGCCGCCAGGTACCATTTGGCTGATTGGGAACCAGCGTTAAATGCGGGAAGGAAGCTCTTTTGGATGTGGAGCTTGCTAGTCTTTCTGAGGTGATTCTTGATCTGTTGCACGCTTGCTGGAACTTGAATGTGTACGCTACTAGAACGTGTGGCTGCCTTGGCTGCTTCGTCTGCCACGTCGTTTCCCCCGATCCCTACATGACTGGGAATCCAGTGTAAGACGACTGGGCGGTTTTGTCTTTTTAATTCCAGTAGCTGTGCGAGGATCGAGGTTATGATGTGGACGTTGTCTCTTGTCTGTGTTGCAGCGCCTGCATGGCTGATTTCGAGTCCGTGTGAATTATGATGGACTTGTTGTGTTGTGTTGCAGCGTGTTGTAGGGCCTTTGAGATTACTACCAGCTCTGTTTGTAGGGTGGAGCAGTCATTAGAAAGTCTCCATCGGAGGGTCTGACCTTGGGTGTAGAAGGCCGCTCCGGATGTATGATGTTTTGGATCCACCGAGCCGTCTGTGAAGTATGATGCTGCATCAGCCGGTGTCTCGGTGGCTATGGCTTCCAGAGTTATTTTTTTGAGGTCCTCCTTCTGGAGGTTGGCTTTGCTATCACCTAGTTCGGTAATTTTGAATGTGGCTAGTGGAGGGCTCCATGGTGGAGGAACTACGTAATCATTGTTTCGTGTGTCTTGGTTGTTCTTGACGAGTGTTTCTGCTTGCAGGTGTCGGATGACCTCGCTTGCCTCGTGCGACCAGGTGGCCCCTCGCACTCTGTGGTCGAGGTGGAGGGAGGCACTGATTCGCGTTTTGGCAGCTGTGGGCTTATCTGATCTACAGATTTTGGCGAGGAGACCGGCTGTCACCTGCTTGACTCGTACTGCCAGGGGTGGTAGTTCAGTTTCCATTTGCAAATTGCAAATTCTGGTCCACATGGGTGCTCCGAGCATGTTCCTGAGAGCATTATTTTGGATGACTTCTAGCTTAGTTATTTGGTCTTCTCTCAGTCCAATGAGTGCTGGAGCACTGTAATCTACCAGTGATCTGATGGCGGCCGTGTAGTAGGCTTTGGGCACATGAAAGTTTGCTCCTGCGGTTGTGCTGGTGAGCGACCTCATTATATTGTGTCTGCTCTTCGTCCTGTGCCTGAGATACTCGAGTTGCGGCTTGAAAGTGAGTTTCTGGTCAAACCAGATTCCAAGACACTGGTGGGTGTTGGTCCAGACTACCGGCGTGTTTTGTATGGAGAGCACCTTGTCTGGTGTGCCTGTGCAGATGGCCATCGCTTTCGACTTGGCTGGATTTATCTTGAGTCCAAGTCTGTTGCACTCCTCTTCTATAAGTTGGAGTGCGTGTTGCATGTTGGCTAGTCTTTTTGATCCTCTTACTATAAGCTGTAAGTCGTCTGCATAGCATAGGAGCTTGGCTGTTTGTCTGAAAGGAAGTTTGACAAGATTTTCCATCAGGACATTGAACAGCATTGGACTGAGGATGCTTCCTTGTGGGTCTGACGTTCGTCTTGATACCTCCAAAATGTTCTATACTACTGAAGGTATACACAAACACTTGTTATCTTATAAGTAGGTTCTATTCTCGTATGGGAGAATATATACAAGGGGACCCAGAAGCTCGCGTCCGCACCACAAGGACTGGCTGTCTTCACTCTCTCTATGTATTACCGCGCGCTGCATGTACAGATGCCAGCATTCACAAGCTGAATACATAAAGTATAAATATGATAATTTATATACATAACATGGTGCCAAATAAATGGAAATATTACATAGAATTAATACCTGTTCTGTAATACTTACTATACATAATTAATAAGAGTAATATAAGAGTAATATAATAATACACAGCTTAAGGTACTACTTCGTGACCATATCATACACCTCCCTCCCCCCTATACGCTCATAGTTTCATCTTGAGCGGACCTTTTGTTTCTGAGTCGCTCGGACCTGCGGAGTACTGGGGCAGAAACACAAGGTGGGGATGGATTTACTGTAAGGACATCAACATTAGGGGACTCAATTGGGGAGGGGTCAACACTAGGCAGCTCCACAGGTCGGAGGAAACGACGGTTCCTCCACCATACTCTACCACTAGGAAGACGCACTTGGTAGTCCCTGGACCGGCCAATACCCATGACAACCCCAACCTTGTCCCAGCGGTGAGATACCGGATCTTGAATCCTGACCTGCTGGCCGATACTCAACCTGGGAAGGGGGCGGGCATGACAGTCGTACCGAGCAGCGACATCTGCGGCTCGTTCTGCTGCACGGCGGTCACATTCCTCAGTCTTGGTCTGCCATTCTTGAGAAAAAGACTTCGGGTGGGCAGGAACACAAGACCTGAGATGATGTGCGTATAGAACTGTAGGTTATGTATCTAAGCTACTGTGCCGAGTAGCAACCTTGTACATAAGCTACTGTGCCAAGTAGCATTTATATATATAATCACGTGGCAACACTGCACGTTCTGTGGCAACATTGCCCCAAGGCTGCCATATGGCG